GAGAAGCAGGCTTCCCGCGGAGCAGGGAGCCCGATGCAGGGCTCGATCCCAGGACCCTGGGATCACGACCTGAGCCGAAGGCAGCCGCTTAACGACTGGGCCACTCAGGTGCCCCAATAAATACAATTTTTAAAAAGGGGTTTGTAACAGGGCTCATTTATACTAAAATTGGACCGATACAGAGAAGATTAGCATGGCCCCTGTGCAAGGGTGACATGCAATTCGTGAAGCATTCTATATTTAAAAAAAAAATGTTTGTAACAACAAATGAAAAAGGATTGCTGTAAGATATTTTTAAATGGATTAATAAATCAGTACTTCTAAGTGGTATTGTAAGAGGTAAGCAAAATCCATCATTTATACTTATTTTACATATATATCTGTAAGTAAATTGGAAAAAATATTCTGTACTGATTTATAAGGACTTCCATATTTTAAATGAAAAAGGTACAGGGTCATGAATATAGTATAATTCTATGTTGGTAAAAATAAACAAATAAAACCCCTGCATGTGTGTATGAGCAATGGGGAAGGATGCAAAAAGCTGCCTACTCTTGTTCACCTCAAGTGGAAAGATGACTTTAATTTTATACATTTTGTACCATATTCAGGGTTATAACCATTTATTCCGTTGAGGAGCTTGTTAGAAATGCATATTCTCAGGCCCTACCACAGACCTACAGCATCAGAATCTATATTTTAATAATACCCCAGTGTTTCATGTGCATATTTAAGGCTGAGACATACTATTTAAGTATTCAGTGTGCTATAAGGGATGAGATTACTCCGCTAACAGCCTTTTTCATTAATTTATATTTCTTTTGATTTGTAATGCTCAGCAGTCACCTTAACAGTAGTCATTGCTTCTTTCTTGTTATCCCTTGATGCCATTATTAAAATCAAAGTGATGTGGGAAGCAAAGGCAAAAGAAAAATTAAATTTCCTTACTACTTACAGCCCACTGACAAGTCCTTGAAACAGGCAAAGTGACCTAGGAACTCAGCTGCCTCAATGTTAATACTTTGTTAAAGGCAAAAGACAATCATAGCCCAACCCCCAGGATCCTGTAAGTCTACTTTAACATATAAAAAATCCTTTGGAAACTTCCTTTATCTCTACCCTGCAAGATACATGTTGGCAATCATCCCCTAAGCATATGACCCACTGATATACATCTGAAGGGGTCTCATAACTGAGTTTTTACTAAACAGTAATAAATGACCTTTTCCTAACAATAGCTAGCTGCCTCAAGGTCCTGGAAACCGTTTCCAAAATTCCTAGAGACTTACGCTCTCCCTAACACCTTCCCAGCTTGAAAGTACATAATCGCAACTCCTCATGACCTCAGTGCAGCTCTTTCTGCCCACAGGTCCTGTCCCCGTGCTTTAATAAAACCACCTTTTTGCACCGAAAATGTCTCAAGAATTCTTTCTTGGCCATCAGCTCTGAACCCTAACATCTTTCCTACATCAAAAGTAACCTAAAACAAAGTTTTGCGGTGAGGTAGCTGAAACCGAGCAAAACATGGTGACTGTTTCTCCTGAGAACAAGGTATTTTGTAAAACTCATTATGATTTTCTTCCATCAGTGTGTTAAAATGAATTGTCAACTTTGTATTGCTACCTTACAGGAGACACTGAAAAAGAATTTAATGGTTTTTGAGAGACTCATTATGTAGAACTGGTGGGACCAAGTAGTTAGGAACCTACTAAAAAGAAATTACACAAAGAAAACAGAGAAAGTTGGCTATTTCAGGATCTTAAAACAATTCACCTCAAAAGTGTCAAATATTTATGAGCACCTTAGTGGAAAGCAGTGGTTGGACCTGTGGTACAAGATGTTTAAGGCACTGGGCTCAAAGAGCTTATGAGCTAGGGTGATGGACTAGAATCATGAAGCTGTACCACCTACCAAAGACTGTCATAGAAGTGTCACCTGCACAATTTCCTGCCAAGTACACATTGCATTTGAGTTCTTGAGTAAGATTATCCAATGAAAACACCAGGCAGTTTAAGTGTGAAGCTGGAAATAAAAGGATCAGGTGAGGTAGAAATATCTTAGAGGGGTTCTGCTTGGATATGATAGTTAAGCCTGGGGACTGGTTGGGTAATCCAAAGGAAAGGACAGAGCAGAGGACCAAGGACTGAAGTTGAAAAAACTTAGAAAAGGGAGCAGTAGTGAAAGTTTGGAAATGTGGGAAGGTTTTAAATTATTAGGGAAGTGTGGGAAGAATTTCAAGGGACATCCTGGCATTATCAAATACCCTGGAGGTGAAAACTCAAGGATTCAGAAATGGCCATTAGATGACAAAGGCTCTGGGGGGGTTGCAGAGGGCAGAGTGCAACAGGTTAATGGGCAAAATATTTAGGAAGAAAGTGATAGTGGACTTTTTCTAATTAGCAAATGATGGGGTCAACTAAAGTTTTTTTTTTTTTTTTTTCCTGACAGAGACAGAGATAGCGAGAGCAGGAACACAAGCAGCGGGAGTGGGAGAGGGAGAGCAGGCTTCCCGCCGAGGAGGGAGCCCGATGTGGGACTCGATCCCAGGACCCTGGGATCATGACCTGAGCCGAAGGCAGACGCTTAACGACTGAGCCACCCAGGTGCCCTAAAAATTTTTTTTGAAGTCAAACCTGTGCATGTTTGTTAATAGAGGGAAAGCAGGGAGAAACTGCAGACGCTAGACAAAAATGGTGTAGTAGAGAACAAGGAAGGTCCTTGGCATGGGGAGGGCAGGGGAGGTGGGATGCAGAATTCTCTTCTGAGAAAGAAAAGCTAATGAGATAAAGCCTCAAAACCAGTGGTTTTCAACGTCTGCTGAGCATCACAATCACCAGCAGAACTTTAAAAATCCTAATGCCCAAGCACACCCCAAACTACATAAATCCAAATCTGTGGGGAGTAGCATGCAGGGATCAGTATTTTTAAAGCTCTCTAGATGATTACATTGTGCAGCGCTGTTGAAAACCTCTGCCCTCAATAGAGCTACTGAGAGGAAGAATAATGAGGGAATTCCCACTTAATGGCTTTTATCTTCTCATATGGTTGAGAAGCACACTGCAGCCCAGATGGGATGAGCTCTAAGAACTAACATTTTAGTCCTTGCATTCACAGAATGAAAACAAGTATTGGAAGTAATAAAGCATAATAAAGAATTCTTGAGACGTCTTCGGTGCAAAAAGGTGGTTTTATTAAAGCACGGGGACAGGACCTGGGGGCAGAAAGAGCTGCACTGGGATCATGAGGAGTTGCGACTCCCATTCCCAATAAAATGGGAAAAAAAAGGCTTTGTGTAGAAACAACTTTTCTAACTTTTCTCTTTAAAGATTTATCTATTTATTTGACAGAGAGAGAGAGAGCATGCGCACACACGCACAAGCAGGGGGAGCAGCAGGGAGAGGGAGAAGCAGGCTCCCCGCGGAGCCCGATGCGGGGCTCAATACCAGGACCCCGGACCACAACCCAAGCCAAGGCAGACACTTAACCGACTGAGCCACCCAGGCACCCCAACTATTCTAACTTTTATGTTAATATGGAGCTGCTGTTAAATGCGCTGAGACACAAAATTAATCTTTATGAGCAAGGACAGTGTTATAGAAAACACCTCTTGCAAATAAAAAATAACCAAGGACTTAGTCACTTACTCTTGATTTTTAGGTAATAGTTGGAATTTATCACTAAGCTTTAGTCAAGAGGGTTAGGGTTTTCCTTTAACATATATTCTATAATGACATATAAGTGAAATTTTTGCCAGTAATAATTGGAGTATGTTATCACTCTATACTTGGGGCATATACATCACCCTTAACTCAGTTATTTTTACACAGCCCCTTGCTTTCCTAACAGATCCAGTAACAGTTGGCCAAAAGGATTCCATATGGTCACTAGGCCAACTCTGCTTCACAGTTGTACCAAGGAACTGGCATAGATTCCTTAAGAAGGAAGGTAACTGCTCAAAAACACTAATAGATCAGTTTTGAGAATCCAGATCTTTTGATGAAGTAAACTGCTTGGCAGGCAAGATACTCCTTTCCTTTTGATAGAAGATTCAAAGATATTTAAATTTTTTTTTATTTTAAAAATAAAATTGACTCATAAAGTGCAAGGAGAAATTAGATCTGTCCAGTGCTCTATATCCATCTTCGACAAACTGTTGGAAACAGAAAAGAGAAAAACAATCAGAAATAATATAATCGTTAACTTCCAAATTATTCTATTGTGGAGTTAAACTATGAACTAGATTTGATGTTACAGATAATTCAATTTGCACAGCTCTGATGATAAAGCTACCACTAGATGTAAGGCTCCTAACTTCCAGGCCACTGCTCTTTCCACTTTACCAGGCTGCCAACAACCAAAGAATTCAGATTGGAGATGACAAACCATGAACGCAAAGATGTACTATGGTCTACCAGGAATATTATCGAAAAGAATAAGGGGGTAGGAGGTGGCAAGAATATCTCCACGGTCCGTTTTCTTCCTTTCCTTCTTCCCAGTATGTTCCTTTTTGAAGTTTAATGTCACGGTGCAACAATGTTGCACGTGGTAAGGCATTCCCACTAAAGGCACGCAGTGAACTGAACTAGGACACCTACTGCAAGTTACTGGAGAAAACAAAACCTCCTCAGAATCCTGGTGTCTTTGGGAGAAAGTCACCCCTATGAAACATCCACAGGCGCTCCTGCCCCAAAATATTCGCCCGCCCCCAACGTCTCCCCTTACTCTCCGCCCCGTAAGTACTGCTCACCGACTCCAAAAAGATCAAGGCGCGGCAGGCGGATGAAGCTAGCGCGGCTCACGCCGCGGCCGGGCCGGAGCCCCGGCGTGGGCCAGGCGAGGTGGGCGCGC